AATTTCTTTAAAAAACAAAAAGAAGAGAAAGGAGAAAGGAGTTGACAATTTCCAGGAGGTAAGGAAATTCTTACAAGATCTAAAAGAGGAAATACACACCCTACAAAAGAATCAAAAGGACCTGTTAGAGATGAAGGCTATAATATATGAAGTCAAAATCTCCCTTGAAAGTATTAAAAGCAGACTAGATTATACAGAAAATTGAATCTTAGATGTAGAAGATAGAATCACTGGCCTAGAAAAATCCACCATGAAGACTGAGAAAATGGCCCAAAAAAATGAGAATAATATACGAGAAATACTAGTTACCACCAAACAGCCACACATTCGGATAATTGGTATCCCAGAAGATGAAGAGACTCATAAGAGCATTGATAATCTATTCGATGAAATCCTGCAAGAAAATCGTCCAAACCTAGAGAGGCACTCCAAGTGGTCTCTAATAACACTATTTTAAGAACATAATCCTTTCCTCTCAGATAACTTGAAAAAATTATTTCAGTTGATAACAAACAGCTCCTTCTGAGCACAGTCCCAAGTACTTTTCAAATGCAGATGTAAGCGTCCTGATCTCTGAGGCTCACAGTGGAGTCTTCCACTTGCTGCAATGTGGGTCACTTACAGTGGTCATATTGACCTCTGGTACCTTGGAGATTGAGAGTAAATATCCCTCCAAACTCATGCAGTGTGGTTTTTTTTTTTTTTTTTTTTTTTTTTTTTTTGGCATGAAGTCAACCAATAATAAAGGATATGCCATGGGGACCAGCAGGTGGAGTGGTGGTGGTTAGGGTGCTGGACACTCCCACATGGCTGACCATGGTTCATATCCTGGACCTGGTCACTTGCCTGTCTCACTTTCTCTCTCTCTGTCTGTCTCCTTCCCTCTGGTAAAATTAAAACATAAATGGATGAATAAATAAAAAATAAAATAAAATAATTCTTTAAAAAAAAAAAAGAATAGTCTCAGAAAAACAAGACCCGAAAGAATTTGCCAACACCAGACCAGATCTCCAAAAAATTCTCAAGTGAGTGCTATATCAGGATAATTAAATATAGACACACGGAAATAAGAGTTCAAAAACTAAGAAAATGGCCAACTTAATTATAGAGACACGTCTGGAGTTGAATACTATATCCCAGAATTTAATTGGGAAGATCAGACCACAACAGGAGATAGATTAAGTACATGAGACTGAACTGGTGAAATAGCATTTTATGACTTTTGACTAAAACATTGCTGATTTTCTTCTAGGTTTTGTTTTCCAGTTTTAAGGATTTTTAGCCTGCTGGTAGGTTCACGTACCTACTATTTGAACAGAATCCTAATCTCTTTCCTGGATTTAAGTTTTAAGTAAAGCTCTTTAGTATTTCTTTGATTTATTAAAGCTAAAACTGCTTTTCTTGAAATTAAAAATATATTTAAAAATACCTTTTAATGACCATAGTAGGGACCAGCAGTTGGTGTAATGGCTATGTTGCTGGACTCCCAAGTAGTTGACTTTGGTTCGTGTCCTGGACCCAGTAGCTTAAACTCACTCCGGGCACATGTGCATGCATGCCTAGGATCCCGAGAGGAGAATGGAGGATAAGGGATTGTGGCATGGCCATCCTCCCTGGGGGGTGATTTCTGTCTCTCTGTTTCTCTGGTGAGCGCATGCGCCCTATAGTGAAAATCTCTCCAAAAAAAAAAAAAAAAAAAAAAAAAAAGACCATAGTAAGCTTTATAACATCAGCTAAGTGTTACCTTACAGTATATTCATTCTACTCAGAGTTTCACACTTACAGTCAGAGATGTATTCACTGATATGTACATACCAGCTGAACTTGCTATTGAAAGTAGTTAGATTACTTAAGAAATTTTGTAGACACCTAAGATAGTGTGGGAGGAGGGTGGGAAATGGCAGAGGGTGAGAAATAGGTATATACACACGTATGTATATGAAACTAGAAATGGAAAATTAATGGCAATAACATGTATGATTAAGCCCCTAGAGGGTATAGCCACACCAGAATTCCTTCTCCTCCATTCTCCTTTTGGGATTTTGGGCATGTATGTACATGCGCCTGGCATAAGTTTTAAGCAGCTGGGTCCGGAACTCAAACCGCTGTTAACTACGTGGCAGTCCAGCAATGTAACTATTACACCATCTGGCGGTCCCTTCTACTTTCTTATTGAACCAGATCTGCACCTTCTCCCACCTACACTGCTGTTTGGAGAGGATTCATTTCTTCCTTTGATTTTTTTTTTTTTTTGAGAGGTTTTTGCTATAGGGCACATGCACTCACCAGAAAGACAGAGAGACAGAGAGATAGAAAGCGAGAAATCACTCCCCGGGGGGATGGTCATACTACAATCCCTTCTCTTCCATTCTCCTCTTGGGATTGTGGATACACATGCACATGTGCCCAGCGTGAGTTTAAGTCATTTAAGTCACCGGGTCTGGGACTCGAACCTATGGCCGACTACGTGGGAGTCCAACGACATAGCCATTATGCCAACTGCTGGTCCCTCTTTTTTCAAGAGAGATTTTTTTTGATCCAGGGTGAGTGTGCTTGACAGAGACAAAAAGTCAGGAATCACCACCCCACCCCCACCCCCGGGGGGATGGTTACATTGCAATCTGAGGAATTCTGAGCATGAGCATGCATGCAAACTTACCAGGCCCGTGACTCAAACCACGGTTAGACTATGTGGGAGTCCTGTGATTTTTTTTTTTAAGAGTTTTTTGCTATAGGGTGTGTGTCCTCGTCAGACAGAGAAAGAGAGACAGAAAGATAGAAAGTGAGAAATCACCCCCCAGGGGGGATGGCCATGCCGCAATCCCTTCTCCTCCATTCTCCTCTTGGGATCTTGGGCACGCACGCACACACGTCTGGCATGAGTTTAAGCCACTGGGTCCAGGACGCGAACCGTGGTCAACTACGTGGGAGTCCAGCAACATAGCCATTACGCTAACTGCTGGTCCAGGAGTCCTGTGATTTTAAGCCACTGGGTTTGGGACTCAAACCGTGGTTGACCACATGGGAGTCCAGCGACATAGCCATTACACCAACTACTGGTCCCTCTTTTTTCAAGAGAGATTTTTTTGATCTAGGGTGAGTGTGCTCGATAGACAAAAAGTTAGGAATCTCTCTCTCACACACACACACACACATCCCCCAGGGGATGGTTATGCTGCAATCCAAGGAATTTTGAGCTTGAGCATGCATGCAAGGTTGCCAGGTCTGGGACTCAAACCGTGGTTAGACAATGTGGGAATCCTGCAACGTAACCATTACACCATCTGCTGGTCTCCAGTTGGTCTTTGAAAACCTGTAATCCTAAGTGATCTGCTTCTTACCAGTGTAAGTTCACCTCCTACTATTCTACTGCTGGCCCACTGTGCTCCAGCCACGCTGTATTTTTCTTACACATTCTGCCAGTCTTGCTCCAGCATGGGGGTTTGCATTGGTTGTACCACTTGCCTAGAATGTCCTTCCCCCAGATATCCTCATGACTTGCTCCTTCACCCGCTACAGATCTTGACTCAAATATTACCGCCTGTTTGCCTGCCCAGAGCACCCTTGTTAAAACTATAAACCTGGCCTTTTCTATTCTCCTTTCCTGCTTTATTTTCCCTCACAGAACTTTTATCAAAAAGAACATACTTGGGGACCAGCAGTTAGCGTAATGGCTATGTCGCTGGACTCCCACGTAATCGACCACGGTTCGCGTCCCGGACCCGGTGGCTTAAAACTCACGCCGGGCTCGTGTGCGTGCGTGCCCAAGATCCCGAGAGGAGAATGGAGGAGAAGGGATTGCAGCGTGACCATCCCCCCTGGGGGGTGATTTCTCGTTTTCTGTCTCTATGTCTCTCTCTGTCTGGCGAGCGCACGCACCCTATAGCAAAAACCTCTCAAAAAAAAATACTATGAGTATTATCTACTTATTTGATTTATAAACTGCCTCCTTTTTCTAGGTAGTGCTTTTTTCTGTTTGTGATTTTGTTCTTTGCTGAAGCAGTGCCTTCCATGCAGTAGGCGCTCACTAAATGTTCCCGGGCCACCACTGTGCTTGTGTTGAAGATGAGATAATGAGCAAAACCTGACAAAGTTCAAGAAACTTGAGTCTTGAGCAGCGGTTCTCTAATTGTCTTGTATAAGGACCCTACCTGGGGAGCATTTCAGAATGAAGACTGGCTCCACTCCTGGAAATTCTGGGGCAGGTCCCAGGGGTTTGTGCACTGCACAAGCTCCCCAGGTGATTCGGATGCAGGTCACGTGAGGGTCACATTCTGGTCTGTAAGGACAGACTGAAATTAATACCGTGCAGGACGTCTGGTGTCCCATTTTAACAGTGCCACTCATTCTCTGTAGGACAGTTGCTACATGCTTGTTTCTCCTCTAGACAGTGAAGTTTTGGACTGCGATGGCATGGGGCATCTCTCTGTACCCCAGGGCTCAACACAGCGTACGTGCTGGTAAATGTTTATTGAGAGCGCGAATGAATGGACGGTCAATGAATGGTTCAAAGATGGATGAATGAGGAACAGGACTCTGGTTAGAAAAGGAATTTCAAGAGTTAAATTCCAGGTGTTTCCAAAGACTTCCTCTTTGCTTTGGAGGGCTGAGAAGGGGCTGGTGTTTCAGAAGTCGTGAAGCGATTGGTCGTCTGTGACGGTGGCAGCTCCGCTCGGGGCCAGGGAGACGCGGAGCCCAGGGGAGGAGCTGCCACCCACCCAGCTGCCCAGGAGCTCAGTAGCGG